CTTAAGTTATGTATTATCTTTTGCTTGTGCAATAACATAAAAGAGAATAAAGAACCGCGCTAGTAGGTGGCGTACTGGGATGCTACAGATGGTCCATTCCATCGATCAATCTATTGCTCGATATCAAATCATGGTCGCGACATAAAACCTTGTGATAAGGCTACTAAGATTCCTCCCTTGGCAAGGTCTTTACCTACAAAACCGGTAGCTTAGCCCAGAGAGATATCCTTACCCGATATGCATACCCCCAAACCCCTCCATGGGTTCACAGCGATATTGAGCATCAACAATCATTTTCCAGTAATCCACAATACTAATTCCATAAACCATTTCATAATCCATTTCATAAATCACAATATGTTTCCACAACCATTTCATAATTCTCCATAAATCAATATGTATAACCTTTAATAAAAGAATTCTTTTCTTAAAGAATTTCCTCAATTCATTTCACGATAATCGATATATAAGCCATTTTTCAGAAATGCCTTACCATGCCATTTCAAATAATCAACAGGATAGTAAATGCTTGATCCGAGTTTTTATGCACTAATGATGCTATTTAACTCATAACATATCTGATTCATATTGTTTTCGAAACATGAGTTTACAAACTCAAAGAAGAGATAACACCACTCACTTGGAAATGTCTATGACCAAACGACAAAGATTACCCGAATTGTCGAACTCGCAATCCTATTAAATAAGCGAGAAACAACGTTAAAATTGAATAAAATGCTACCTCAACTACGACTTGGCTAAACTAGGTTTAGAGGCTAACATAACGACTAAAAGGTGCCCATAAATCGCTCATCCAAAGCGATTATCCAAAACCGTCCGCAACGCGGAGCTTGAGCAAGAAACTTGGTTGCGCCGTAACTTTCTCCACCGAGTTCCGCTCCAAGCGAGCTTATAGTCAAAGTAAAGCTCATTAAAAGAACTACAAAACCCGTAGCTTGATTGATCCAAACTTGGGCCAAAAAGCTACAAAATTCGGCATAGAAAGTTGCTGGTCGTGCACTGTTCATCGCGCGCACAACTTCAAAAATTCGTATTGGGCAAATCATAAGTCCAAATCGAGTTTCGCAATACCCCACGGCCCCTCAACACCCTAAACTATAATTCTATATATATACGCCACTCGATAACTCAAAAATTGGACTACGCAACTTGAATTTCACCAAACTCCGAAATTAAGCCCTAATTTCGAAAAAAATATTCCGATTGGACAATCGAGAGGCGCGAGTACTTACCAGGTATTGCGATACAAAGTAACTTCGGTTTGGCAAGGCTCCCATGATAAGTAGCACGAAACCCCTCTTCTTTCTCTTTCCTTTTCTTCCTCTTTCTTTCTTTCCTTTCTTTCTCTTTCTTTTCTTCTCTCTCCCCGCAAGCTCTCGGTCTCGTGATAAAAAGAATAGAGTCCACTATTGCTTCTTTATTGACATTTCCACTTTTTCCTTTTTCTATTTTTTTTCCTATCCCACTTTGACCTTTTGACTTTATAACCCATATTTTACAATTAAAGTGACATGAACAAATTCAAATGATGAGAATAAGCTAATAGAAATAGAAAATATTATGCCCTAATCATTCACCTGCGCGTTTAATCCTAGAATTAGATTCACAACTAAAATCAATATCAATATGAGTAAATATATTTATTATAGTGAGGTTCTTTAGAGTACGTTTGGTAACTTGTCAAATAGTGACTGATTCTATTCTTTTGTTTTCGAGAATAAAAAAAGAACAGCAATCCATTTGGTAAATTTTTTGTTCTTGGGCACAAATTTACACAAATTTGTTCTCAGAATCAGTTTTGGAACAAAATCAAGAAGCAAATGGGAACAAAAATCAGAAATAGAAAAGAAATTTTTTTTTTCTTCTTCTTCTTGGTTTTCTTCTTCGTTTTCTTCCTAGCCTGTGGCTGGCTGCCAGCTGCCGGTGAGGGCGGCTCACAGCTTGGGTGAGGCTACCTCGCCGAATTTGGCTAGGGCGACCCTCGTCCAGGCCACTAACCGCCCTCGCCGGCCTTGGCCTGTGGCCGGTCACCGGTGCCGGCGATCTGGCCATAGGCCAAGAAAGGGGAAGAAGAAGAAAAAAAAAAGAAACAAATATTAAAAAATTCAAAATATTATTAATATAAAAAAATTGTGCAGTTACCAAACGCATTTCTGTTCTTTTTCTATTCCAAGAATATAAATTTTGGGTTGTTACCAAACACCTTCAAATGCTTAGAAATTGTTTCCCGAAATGAAATAAATAAGAATCATTTCTGGGCAAAAATTATTTCCGGAAACAGAATAATTACCAAACGTACCCTTACTCTAAAGACATATAAGGCATCATGTCTACTAACACAAAACTGCATTATATTGAGTGAAAGGACGAGTTAACTAAATAGAACAAAGTAAAAGACAATAGTAGCTTTTAGTAGCAAAAGCAAGCACAAAAATACGAAAATAGAAGCTTTAAGCCAGGAGATAGTTTAAGATAAACTTCCAATGTCTTATTGATAATTAAATCCTTTCTGCAGCAACCAAAGGACATGGCCTGACTCTGCAAAGCCACGAGAAACTTCTCTACTCAATTCCATATCTATACACGGGGATTAAAGACCAAACCATTTAGCCCAATAGCGTAAAGTAAATGACAATGAGAAACTTCATTTTCTAACCCAAAACAAGCATTCTCGTCAAGTTATCTTCCTCCTTTTTTCCTAATCAACACATACATCTTTCAAGGTTCAATTATCTTTTAGACACCAACAAAACAAAAGCAGCTTTGTTTATACAAGCAAAATGAAACAAAGGCATCTATTATCTGCCTTGAACTCTTTAGCCCAAAATACCCATTAGTTTATCTATGCATGATCCACCACCTAAGTTGGTTTAATAGCATGGGACAGTACAAGCTCCTCTAGAAACATGAAATAAACGAAGAGACCGCAATCTATATTCATAAAAACAAAAAAAGTGCACAATGTTTGTCAAGACGAAGACCAACAATCCGAACAAACAAATGGACGAAAACCCAATTGCTAATAGCGCCAAATGAAAAGACATCGATTTTACCCTTTAAATCAAAAAAGTGATAGTTTTGTGATTCGACTAAATTACCGATTTACTATACAAGCTTTGTCAATGTCATGTTGTCCATTATTTGGGTTGTCAATGTTCACGTGACCGATTATCGATAATGCTATCATTTGCTTGCATGATAAATGAAAAGAGGTAAGCATATCATTATCATTATTCGCGTATATGATCATTGAAAGGGCAACGTAATTATATTTCGAAAGTAAATTACATGAAAAGATGTTGATTCTTGAAAAGAACGTTGATTTCGTTGTTGATGCAAAGGAGATCATATGATTATAAAGTTATCATGTGCATTGTTGCTATGTGAGTAAATATAGAAAGTATTATGAAAAATTATGTCCGTTGCTCACATATTTAGAGTCGGGATGCCCTGGAGCTGAGATGTCACGGAGTTGGGATGCCCTGTAGAGTTAGGATACCCTTTGAGTGTTCAGGATGCCTTGAAGTGGAGATCTGGATGCCCCAGAGTTAGAATGACCTGGTAGTCGAGATGAAATAAGATGAAATAATTAATATGATGCATGGCTATGTGCATACATGTTTATTAATGAACTAATCGGTGATAATCATGAATCACAATGTGCTATGTTATCCTCTTGCATTTGAGTGAATAATTCTATGTGATATTGTTTATGGTTTCCATCAACATAACATGATAGGTAAATTAATGCATCAACTTATTTAATTGTCTTTCATAGTTATTTTGTATGCGCCTGGGATCGTTGTGCTCTGCATGTACCAGGTTGAGTGGTAAGATAATCTCCTACTTTGAATTTAGAGATTTCTTTTACCGTGTTTCAACTTATTCATTTATTTTTCAAATTTGTAGAATGGATCCTCTTCCCGTGCCATGTTTTGGAGTCCACATATATAAAACATCGGAATAATCTGATATACTTGTACCGGGATCCGAGATGGTATATGTTATGCTCAACTGTCTGGGTGGATGTAGGGTTACTTGAGTTTTTTCCCCACCGTTTCGTCGCATGGTATATTGATGTAAATGGCGAGATGGTAGGACCTTTGCGAGGGTTTGGTGGTCCCCTTGGGGATGATGGTGGAGGGGACGAGATGGTGGAGGAGGCCACCAATCCTTGAGTTGGATGGTGATTAGGTTATTATGGGTGTAGTGGCGTTAGGTGACCCTGATTTTTCCCAAGACTATGTATTTTGTTGTGATAATAAATAACGGTGTTTGTAAAAAAATTGAACTGTTAAACTCGTGTGATTTTATTATGATTTTCTTATGGAAGGGACACGTGTCGCGCGTGATGTTTTAGGGCATATCATTTCTACTAAGAAAGCAAGAGATGCCCAACAAGAGGAAATATTATGTGAGGCATTAGTTACGTGTTAAGTACGATAGAAACAAGAGTCTCAAGCTTGTTAGATCTCGCAAGGGCCGTGCAACCTTGGCATTCCCATTAATCGGGGTCTTGCGACATCGGCATCGGCTCAGCTGGAGTGGTGCCGTTCATCCCCAACCAAGCCGACATCAGCAAAACTTCTTTGGTTCGCTCCTCTCTTTTTTTCATTTTCCCACTTTGAAAAATATCGCATAATGAGTATTTTACAATGTAGTAATTATCATAACTATTTGCTTCCGATGAAAAATCTTTTGGGTGATGGTGGCTTTTGGCAAATGAAGCTTTTTCCAAAGGCAAACTCCTCTTATAAAGTACCATTGTTTTTTTTCGGCTTGGGAACGGGCGAAGCGCAAAAACTTAAGAAAGGCTTCCGTAATTATAGGAGGCTGGCCCGAGCCCAACTTGAAAAAAAGTAGCCCATGGGCTTTTCCGACTTCGCTCTCCTGGGCCCAACATCGGTTGACCCGGCTCGGCCCATTCGCACCGCCAGGTTAAACCCTTGAATCCCCCCCACCCTTTCTTCTTCGTCCCTCCGCTCCCACGCTCTCTTTCCATCCATCGACTTCTGTATGTTCTCCGCCTTCACTCCCTCTCGCCCTCTCCCGCCGTCCCCCGCCGTCCCTCGCCGTCTTCAGCCCTCTCTGCAAAGCGAGACCACCACCTCCTCCTCCTCCTCCTCCTCCTCCGCCGCCAGAAGATGCTCGAGGCATACAGAGCGAGCTCGGCCGACTGGAAGCCGACGCCGGTCGTGGCCCTAGCCGCCAGCGCCGACGACTCCCAGGTGGCGGCGGCCCGCGAGGACGGCTCGCTCGAGATTTGGCTCGTCTCCCCCGGCTCCGTCGGGTGGCACCGTCAGCTCGTACGTCGAATCGCTTCGCCTTCCGCGAGCTCTCTTTGCTCATTCATTCGATGTGAAAAACAAGAGAACGAGAGGGTTTTTTTTTGTTTCTGACGGCGGCTCGGGCCTTCCCTGTTTTTTCTTGTGTTCTTTTTTCTCTTCAGACTATTCATGGAGATTCCGATTCGAGAGTGTCGTCGCTCGTGTGGTGCCGGACCGGCTCGAGAGGCACGTCCAGTGGGCGGCTGTTTTCATCCAGTATCGATGGTTCGGTCTCGGAGTGGGATCTATTTGACTTGAAGCAGAAGGTTTGAGCTGGGACTCGGGATGCTTAGTAGCGTTGTAACTTCTGTTTGAACTTTTCTTGTGCATATGTCAGTGTTTGGAACTTTTCTTGGCCTTGAAGTTGAATTCACGTATTAGTGCTTCCATTTGGCTTGTGAATAGAACTCTGGTTGGGGAATTCAAGCACCTGGAGTATAGGTTTTGTTCCAGAAGCGATCTCTTGACCTCGTACAAAAACTAGATAACACATTTGATGCTGTTTGAGTGATGGTAAATGGATAGAAATATGAATGGCGTTACCCTCCTAAGTCTGCTTGGCCTATTCCGGAAATCAATCTATTTCACGAGCTTGCATATCCTTTCTTATGCTTGTCATGGAGTAATGTGCTTTTTATGAAGTTGCTTTCTTATGTTTCCAGTTTCAAAATGTTGTGTTCTTGGCAAACAGGTCGTTGTCTAATGCTGTTTACTGGCAAATTTGTATCTGCAATGCATTGTTTGCCTACCCATCAGTTTGTTTTTTGCACTTGCAGACTGTTATAGATTCAATTGGAGTCGCAATATGGCAAATGGCTGTGTCTCCGTATAATGATAAGGAACCCAAGCCACAAAAGATTGAAAATGGTTATGTAGATGAAAGACTGGATAATGGCATAGATGATGACGATGGTGAAGTTGAGGATGATTCTGAATCTGTCGAGTTTCATGGTGCATCATACGAGGAAGATGTGTGTGTAGCCCTAGGTTGTGATGATGGCTGCGTGCGGTTATACACATTTTCTGATTTGGAAGATTTGATATACAAGAAATCTCTGCCTAGGGTCAGCGGTGAGATTTCTTAACCTCAGAACTGTTGTTCAGGTTTTTTTTGTCCATGCTAATCTCCATTCTCTTCATTTCAGGGCGAATTTTAAGTGTCGCATGGAGTCCTGCTGCAAATATGATATATTCAGGAAGTAGTGATGGGTTAGTGTTCTTATTTCTCGTATGCTTCAATTAGCAAGAATGATTTTGGGTTTGGATTCTGACAATTCAATGCCTTCTCCTCGTTCTAGTTGTTGCTCATCTTGTCGCTGTGGTTTACATAAAGGTACTCATATCAACTGGTTTCTGCAGATTCATAAGATGCTGGGATGCTCTTTCATGTCGCGAGATCTATAGGATTACAGTAGGCCCTGGAGGTTTGGGCAGTGGACCAGAACTTTGTGTGTGGTCATTGCTTGCACTAAGGTAACATAACATTTTGAACTGTTTTCATTGTGAGGCTTAATGTTTCGGCAGCTGCTATGGCAATTTGGCCTAATGTATAATGGGTATATTTCTTGTGTCAGGTCAGGAACACTTGTTAGTGCTGATAGTACTGGCAGTGTTCAGTTCTGGGACAGTCAACATGGAACGCTTTTACAGGGGCATTCTTATCATAAAGGCGATGTGAATGCTCTCGCAGTATCTCCTAACCATAACAGAGTGTTTTCTGCAGGATCTGATGGTCAGGTATGGAATTTAATTTCTTCTGCAGTTTATATCCATAAAGTACAAAGATATCGATTGTAATAGATATGGACATTGTGTAAATTAATAGGACATGCTTGCTTTTCCAGCATCTTTTTCATTTCTGAGAACTGCATCATCGCACATCATTATGCTAATCAGGTTCCTTCTATGGATGTTGGTTTCTCAGTTATGTCTTGTAACAAATAACTATAAACCTTCTCTCATCAGAGTCTTCACCAGTCATGATGATTCAATGTTCCTTTGGGGCTACGATAATTTTGGAAGCATTTTTAATTGTTTTAGTGGAGCTCCTGTAGCTTGGGTAATTTCTGCATCTAATTTATACTTTGGATTCACTCGGAGAAGTTTCTTGTGAATCATGAGGGTATATAGGCCTTTGTTCAACATCAATTTCGATTGGAAAACTCCAAGTAGCTTTTCGAACAGTACAATAAACAAATGATTGAAAGTATGAGAGATAGGCTCCAGTATCAATCAGCAATTGTTACTTGTGATTTTAGGTCGATACAGACTGTGACATCTTCACTGTTGTATCTTGTCTATGCTTTTCCTTCTTCTTGGACCTTAATGGCGGGGTGATAACTTTCTGAAGAATCTTCCATTCTGCAGGTAATCCTTTATAAGCTTTCCAATGAGACAGTGTATGGTGATGACAAGATTTCTCATAAAGAGATGAAGAAATGGGTCTACATCGGTTACGTGAGAGCTCATACGCATGATGTTCGGTCCTTGACGGTTGCAGTACCAGTAAACCGGGAAGGTACGTGCATATCTATGTTAACTGACCTTTCTGAGTAATGACTATTTCATAGCTCTCAAGATATACTATGCTAGTTTGCAGATTCCCTGCCAGATGAAAAAGTTAAAAGAGTTCGTCATAGGAAGAAGCCTGTTGATTTTAGTTACTGTAAATGGGCTCACACGGGAGTTCCCATGCTCATCTCAGCCGGTGATGACACAAAGCTCTTTGCCTACTCTGTTCAGGAATTCACCAAGTTCTCTCCACATGATATCTGTCCAGCCCCTCAGAGGTTGCCCTTTCAACTAGTGCGCTCAGTATTCGACCAGACTCCTTTACTTCTTGTCCAGGCTCCTTACTATTTAGATATTCTCTCTGTGCGGACCAAGAGTGGTAACTTTCCGAGTAAGGCTTCTGGTCCTTCTGGGGGCTTGGCAGCTACTGGACTACTGGCTCGAGTGAAGAGCAAGGCATCTCGAAAAATCATTTGCAGTGCTCTTTCTTCTTCAGGGGAGCTTTTTGCCTATTCAGACCATGTGAAGCCGAATCTTTTTGAACTGAAGGGGCGTGAGGATGGTAAAAATTCGTGGACTGTGACCAAAAAACAACTTCCTCACAGATTATCATTTGTTCACTCTATGGTGTTTAGTGCCGACTCTAATCGGTTAATTATGGCTGGACATGACAGAAAGATTTATGTAAGTTTCTTTTGTCTTTATGTACTTTTTGGAACTCTGAGAGTTTATTGTTGTATCTGTTACTTAAGGAGAAAAACCAATTATTACTTGTTTTGTCTTACTAGAACTTCCTCTAAACATAAGCGGTTCAAAGTTTAATATCAAAGGCTGAAATTTGTGTCCTGATGGCTACCCCTAATAGGCAGGCATGCATCAGACTGGTCATTCTAAGTTGAGTTGCGAAGAAGTTGCTTCTTGATAACTCATTTTTAGATTTTCCTGTGTGATTGTTTTTATGTAATGGTTTATTTTGACAGATGATCTGAGCTGGATTACTTTTCCATGTGAATGTTTTTTTTTGCTAGAATTTTCCATGTGAATGTTGCTACTCCTTGTTATGTGAAATAGAACTAAGAGTATTGTCTTGAGGTCAATCGTCAGCTGTATTGTTTGTGCTTTTTTTTTTGTTATTGATTTTGTTAATGAATGCCTCTGAAGCACTTGTTAAACACCAAATTAAGGAAAGTTTATAATTTTCAATCTACCGTCTCTCGTGTATATGTAATCAATGCATTTAAAATCAAAGCATTTCTTTATTAAGTATACTTAACTAGTGTCCGAGGGGAACTTATTAACAAGGCTCTATTGTTATTATTATATTGTTATTTCTTCCTGTTCTGGATTGCGTATATGGCTATAAACTGTGGTAGGACTTGTTGTTTCTAGATCCCCATCCCCTCCCCCTTCAAAAAAAAAATTTGCGGTCACTCCAACATGGAGGTGCTTGCTTTGTAGCTATTTTCATGCAAAAGATGAGTAGCTTGAGTGGATTAATGAATAGATCTCCGGCTTTACAATTTATCTTTTCATGTGACGTGTTCTGTGGCACTATAGGTTGTGGATGTCAGAAGTTCGGAGTTGCTATATACCTTTACACCATCTCGTGAGGAGCCTTCTGACGAATTACCTCCTGAGGAGCCACCAATAACAAAAATGTTTACCAGCTCTGATGGGCAGTGGCTAGCTGCTGTTAATTGTTTTGGAGATGTATATGTGTATAATCTTGAATTACAAAGGTGAGAAATTGTTCTTATGTTTACCTGATTTGTTGTAAAATGAGGATTGAGATGTCCATTGATCCAAATGTCTTTATATGAAAATAATGGTCAGTTGTGTCTGTTATGTCCATGATTATTTGATTTTCAAATTTGTCTCAGTTGTCTTTTCATGTTATCTGGGCAATTTTGTGTCTCGATATGATTTCGAGTCTTTTTGCTGCTGATTATCATGTGCCATGGAAGATGTTGCTTTTGCTATATGTTGTCCGTAGCCAGTCTTATCTATATAGTCCTGCAAGTTCATAAAGATGCTGTCCTAGGTCTTTTTTATTTAAAATGTTCTTGTGGTTGTTTCTCATACCAAATGTAAATGCTGATCTTAAATTTGATTGGGAACAGGCAGCACTGGTTCATATCTAGACTGGATGGTGCCTCTGTTACTGCTGGTGGATTTCCTCCTTTGAATAGTAATGTGCTTGTATTCACCACATCCTCAAATCAGGTGTATGTACTTGATGTGGAGGCCAAACAATTAGGAGACTGGTCAACGCGAAACACATTCTCTCTGCCCAAAAGGTTCCAAGAGTTTCCTGGGGAGATCATTGGACTTTCTTTTCCACCCTCCTCATGTTCATCATCAGTCATTATATATAGTGCCAGGTATGCCCATCGATTTTGTATTGTGTTGTATTGTATACTTGTATTTGTAGGAATCTGGTAGTAAGGTCAACGACCTTTCCAATGAAAGGATCTCAAGGATCAGAAAGGGGTTGTTACTCGTCACTTATGAACATCATTGGAAAAAAAAAGAACAAATTACCCATATGTTGCGTTACTCATACTCTTGCTTGCTTTGTTTTGTGAACACAGATTCTCTAGCATAAGCCTCACTTAATAATTCATCTCAGCAATTTACCAATTCAGATTGACATTAAATGGTTGTGACTTACATTATATTTAATTAGTTGCTTGCTGCATGCTATGAACAGATTGTGCAAACTCACTCTCTCTCCTCCCCCCCCCCCAAAAAAAAAAAAAAGGAAAAGATGGCCCGCCTCCTCCTCTCTGTGATAAGAGGATTGCATAAGCTCCTTGCACGGACATATTTGCAGACTTCTTAGAAAGATGTCACTGGAGCTTCATAATAATGACAAATTGAAAAGCTGTATATGATATGTTCCCACTTGCCCCAGTAGTATCTCCTGCTAAGATTGCAGCTTCACACTAGTACATACTTTCTGAAGATAAAAGAAAAAAAATCTCAATTGAGCCATTAACGGAGTAGTGTTATCTGTTTATCTACCTTTGCTTTGGCAGTCACTTGATGCAAACTAGGTTGTTCTAGTTAAATTGCCAATTTTGGGTGAGGGCAAATTGGAATTGAGCTAAAAATGTCTCTACTAAATTGTTGTCTTCTCTACAGGGCAATGTGCATTATCGACTTTGGACTGCCTGTGGACCGGGAGGATAATACAGAGTTGATGAATGGTCGGGATTCGAAATTGAGGAAGTTACATTATATGCCTGTAAATGGGAAACTGAAGCGTAGTTTACAAGCTTACGAATTAGATACTAAGCAAAATAGTAGAAGGAATTTTGAATTTTTTGCTTTCAGAGATCCTCTTTTGTTTGTTGGGCATCTTTCGAAGAATTCCATCTTGGTCATAGACAAACCCTGGATGGAAGTAGTTAAAACGTTAGAAGCTGCACCTGTCCACAGACATATTTTCGGGTCATGACTGCTTTTGCCAAGATGGTTTTTATGCGGCCTACAAAGGAGAAGTCAATCAACAGTCAGTCCCTTAGAGCAGGTCACTTTCTTCCCTGTGATCATGGGGGCCTGCAGCTTGTTCTTCGTTGTATCCCTTAAGTCAATTCTTTTCTTTTTTTTAACCTTAGTGTTACTTGTCTCTAAATTTTGATCTAATCCAAGTTTCTTTGCTTGAGATGTGTGCATTCATTGGTAAGCAAGGTTTCCATGATTTTATGTTTCTATCAATCTTCAAAGAACTCTGAAAAATCTTGTTTGTTCTATATTTCGAAGATTAATATTGACACCCTTTTTAAGGATCCAAGCGTGAATGGAATGAAAGAGTTTGGATAATGCAGTTGGAGTTCCACCATCGCTTGCTTTGCACACAAGTTGTACTCTTGCTGGTCGGTTTGCTTGTCTGAAGGAGGCAATTATTTATTAACGGTTTGCTTTATATATAAGTTGGCTGGCCATACTAAATTGCCTGAACACTTGCTTAATTTCAAGGGCAGCTATGTTCCCCTTCTCCTGTTTGCTACATGGTCTTCCTTGTTTACATGCTTTCCAACCCTGTGCTTTAACTACCCTCTCAACTTGCCCGTTGTTCCAGCAACCATGGACATTTGCACCTTCACGAGCAGATGAGTCCTTTTCATGTCTTCAGATCTGTTTCTTGATCATGATTACGTTCAGATGGAGGTGATGGCATGTTTGTAGTGGTAACTGTAAGGGAGGGATTTCAGGGGTTTGTCGATAAGCTTTTGTGAAGAGATGCCAGAGGTATGTGGTGAGGGAGCATGCAATGCGGAAGGGCATAGATAGGCTATCTGCCTTATTGTCCATCATGCATTTGTGATTGAACAAATGAACCCTTTTGCTATAGGGAAAGGTTGCTATCGGGAAAGGAAAACGAAAGCATTGAACACCCATGCAGATTGGAGGAAGCCAGAGGTTTTACAATGGGCTCATGTTCATGGCGGATCATCAAAAGGTGAAGAGGAGGTATCTACAGATAGCATGATAGCTTCTCCATACCAATTGAAGGATTTCTTATCCTTTGGAAAATCGAACCCTCGTGGTAAATCATCAATGGCTAATGGTGACTGTTATACACATGAACTTACTCTGAGTGTGTCTTGAGTCCCAGTACAGTGAGGTGTACATGATGACTGGTCAGTTGTGGCTGGAATCGCTAGATAACAATCTCAAGTCGATGACATGCTATTGACTGGGTTCCTCGTCCTCTGGGTAGCTCCATCTATAGTCATTGTTACTAGTTCTGGCGCCATCGTAGCAGCCTCTGCCACTCACATGTTGAGTTCGGAGATGTTTTCATGGAAGTAGATTTTTGAGACATGCAGAGTGGAAAGCTTAGTCGTAGTCGCGGGGGCGTTGTCCTCCATCGTCATGCACATAGGACTCAAACCTTGTCGTAACCTTTGTCTTAGACAGGCACCAGAGTCGGGAAAGGTTTTTACAGGGAGAGGGAAGAAAAGAAAGCATCCCCCTGATGAGACATGGAATGGAGTCTTGTCCTTATCCTAAAAGCCAGGGCATCCTTTTTTTTTTTTCACTTTTCTTCGGCAAGATATGCTTCGCTGATAGCTGATTCTGGGTGATGGGAGCCACTCGAAATAAAAGATGGGGAGGGGAACCCCACCAGGACAAAAATTTCAATTATTGTACCCGGTTCGATCATGTATTTTAGATCGTATTCTCCAGTGGCTAGTGGGTAGTTATCAGGGGGGAAGTGATAGGTTGCTGTTGTCTGCTTCCTTTCTGGTGGAAAACGAAACTTACCTTTTGGGTCCTCCCCCTCCCCTCTTAACGTTAGTCCTTTTATCTCACCAGGAGAAGAGGGAGGGAGGGGCTTCTGCTTACCAAGAGATTTCCCCATGCCACGTCCAAGTTCAAGCTAGGCTGGCATCGGTTCAGATTGGAGAAAACGAAAGTGGTCAGCTTTGATTCTGACTCCCTCTCTCTCTCTTTCCTACTGTCTTTTGTTGTTTGTGTGTGATTTGCTGGGCCTTCTCATTTATTCTCGTCTCTGTTGTTTGTGTGTGTGTGTGGCTTTGAGAGGGAGAGGGTGGTACTGTTTCGAGCTATTGTGTTGAGGATACACTCTGTTCTGAAAGGGACTCCCGATCGTCCTCTCGACCCTTCTGTCTATCTATCTATCTCCCTGTTCTTATTCCTATGTACTGAGTCAAGTCACTTCGGTAAAAATTGTTCAACCAGTGTAGTAGTGATCTGTTGAATTATAGGAAATTTTGCTAGCCAACTAGAATTATTAGATGGTGAATCTCCTGTCTAGGACAACAGAAGAAGATTCTTCTTTCTTCCGATTTCGGGTGTGTTAACTTTCGAGTTCATGGTACGACGTTAGAATTATGCCTGTTGGCATTAGATAACCGCAAGCGTTTTTCTCTTTTCCTTCTTTTGGAAATGTGAGGACCTCCTCAAGAAGGGGCCCTTTTGTACCCAGTCCCCGGTTCCTAAACTTTGGCTCGCTTTTGAAGGTTGACGAACTTACCCTGGTTGCAAAATGCGCTATCCCGGTCGTGGTGGGAAGTTTCGAACCGATAACTGGGATGGCGATCAAGCATGCAGCACCCTCGCCAATTAGGATACAATTACGGGTTTGCAAATTTTGTGTTTTGCACAATACGGAAGAACCGCAGAAGAATTCCTAGATACAGAACTAGTAACTGCCTGATGAATGTGGCTTTTTGACACCTAGAAAGCAACCATACAAAAGACATCTTTATTTGCCCCTGGTGGTTTCCCCTGCACCGAAGGTCAAAGGTTGGAAAGAAAAAAAGTTTGGATAAAAAGAGAGAAGGTAGACACGATCTTCTCTCGCAATCTTCTCTCGGATTGAGCATCGTCTTTACACTCGAGACAAGTTTCCCTTGTATTACCACAACGTCCGGCCTTTCAAACCTCCTGCAAAACAATTGGAGAAAACAGAACAGGATCATCATCAGCAAGCGCCTCATAGATTCAGTCGCGCGATGTGTGCCGACGGCAACAAACCGTCTCACCCTTTTTCTCAGAACCAGCTTTCTCAACCTATCACTTCTCCAACTCAGATTTACCCTGTAGAGATTGAATGGCAGAGCGCCTACCCTAGTTAGAAGGTAAACAAACTATGTGCAGTCACTTGTAGAACATTAAGAGTTTTCTTACCTTGGCTCTGGCTGCATCATTGTCCACTGGAGAATGTCTCTTCTGCAAAGCACCAAGAAGCAAAGCCATCAGAAATTTCACTTACTTACACATTGCTTCTACATGTGGGGGGTGTGTGTGTTTAAGCCAATATATACTACAGGAAGAGACTTGCCTTGGTGAAGCTCATTGGAATGGAGGTTGCAGTGTCCTCATAGCACAAATGCTGCTGCTGCTCCTCCTCCTCTCTCCCGTGCTCTTTCGCCTTCTCCTTCTTCTTCTTCTTGCTGCCCCCGGAACCGAGCTTCCGCGACCCGGGGCCGGACGAAGAGCGCTCGTTCTCGTTGTTCAAGTCCTCTTCGACTTCATAGAACGGCGGCCCGGACGATGCATCAGAGACCATGGACAGATTCCCCTCTCCTTCCTCCTCGTTTTTGCCTCTCCCTGACCTCGTGTAAGTGTAGTCCTTGTGGATTTCTCCCTGCCATTGCTCCAGCGCGAGAGTCCAGCCAGACTCACAGTCTCCGCTGGATTGTGAGGTTGATGTGTTCATTGTCCCGAATTCCCTCTGCGATTCTACAACTCCAACAGGGACTTTTTATAGGAACTGAGGAGCAATTCAGTAATGCCCCAGAATTTTCTTTTCCAAAAAAATTGAAATAAACAGAATTTCCCGGTGAGAATCTCTCTCTCTCTCTCTCTCTCTCTCTCTCTCTCTCTCTCTCTCTCTCTCTCTGTGTTCTTTTTCTGTATTGGAAAAGAGAGAAGGAGAGGGCTGGGGGAAAAGAACAAACGTATCACACTCAAATCCTAGACTTGCTTTGTCCTTTGCTCTATCCTTTCCCCTTCTTAAATCATTTTCGTTTTTGTATGCGAATCAACAAAAATTGCCAGTTGGCTGCATGTACTTTTCCCTGTGCATGAAATGTATGCATATGTCGGATTGGACTGTGAAAAAAAGAATTTATAAAAAAAGAGGGGGAGGTCAGTTGGAAGAACACGAATTATGAAGTGGTAAACAGAAAGGAAGCCATTGTTGATTCAGGATGCACCGGCATACACCGGGGTTCGCGCCGGTGGTTGCGGTATGATCCATTCCAGTCTCGTCATCACTATCAATAACTATGACTAACTCACCATCGAAGACTTTGCTAGTATTTCAATTTCAATAAGTCATACCATACTCGTTATAGGCTTTTACAATAATCACGAAAGAGAAACTTTTGTTTTGACGAAATTGGTAGCAGGAGCTCAAGTCCATTTCATGATCTCACGCTGGATTGTGAAATTGAGTGTGCTAGTTCCATTTCTGCCGGCTATCAATTTTTGGAATAAGATGGGAAGAGAGTTTTTATCTTTTTGGGGGTATAGGGGGGAGAGTGATGAGAATGTAGGATTGATGCAATTGGACTTTGTTTTCTTCACCTGCTCCCCATTTTTTTTTCCTTTCCTTTTGCATTTTTCATCATTTTGTTCTGTTAATTTCTATTTGTATTGGGTTATTTTTAAATTTTAACGCAAAGGTAAGTTCTAATATATAATAACATGATTCCACATAGATCCAATCAATTTACATGTGATATCTACAATTTTAGTTGACATTTTCTTACCACTTAGAAATTAATTTTCTGTGAATTCGAATATTGAAGTAAATTATATACTACGACGGGTTGTAATGCTTATTGCATAGGCATATTCTTTTGCTTTGTTTATTAATTTATCACTTTTTAGGTGTGATCCTCTTTATACTTTACAAGCATAATCAAGAGAACATAAATATAAGTATTCAATAAGTGTCTCATTCTCTCTTTACAGTATATATATTTTCTAATATGGGACCTCCAAGAACAACTGGGTTCATCATAAATCTCAAATTAAAGTATAAAGTATATGGCGTGATCACCGTCGTATTTATGTCATAACTTAAAAGATAAGAACGAATGTGATAATAAAAAAAATGATCGTGCGAAGCCAAAGCGTGTAAATGATGTTGGCCAAAAGATATTTAAACCCTACTTGGAAGTGGGTAGAGTGCATTCCCTACTTTCACCCTTTTTCCATTACCTACTTCCACTCACTTTTATCCTTTTTAAATGTTTTTTTGTCCTTTTTTTTTGGCCTTTTTAGCTTCTAATGCATCCTTTGGCAAAAAATGGAGGGGAAAAAGACGCACTTTCACATCTATTTATTTATTCCATAAGCTAAAGGAGATTTTTTGGAGGACACGTGTGATAATATGTCACATCCTCTCTTTTTTTTTCTGAACCTTTTAAATTTTATTTCATATATTAAATTTCACTTTTGCCCTGTTTTTTTCTTCTCCTCCTTTACGTCACCTTCTTTTTTGTGGTGATCAAATCCCTTTTGCTTTATTTTGAAGCTATATTATATACTTCCTTGTCTTTCATCAAATGTTTGCATGATCATAAGGTCACACATCTTAAAGTGCGGTTACGAATTTTGATGTTAAAGATTTATGAGTGTCCAAATTTCTGTTTAAGTTCCTAAATAAACCAAGTTCAAAATATTGAGATTTAATAGTGATAGTTGCATGTCAGTATGTTTTATCCATCATCGTGAATTCACTACTTACAAACGAGACACATAATTTATGAATTACTCTTTTTGTACTAATCGATCGAGTCATCGAAGCATTTATAGTTAATATGGGATATAATTTAAATATTTATCCGTTTGGTTTTATCGTGACGAAACATGAATGTTATCAGAATCAATCATTTTAACATGTTCCCGATTCTAAATTAGACACTTTGTCCTTACATGTAAATGTACTTTTGGAGTTGAATTTTTCATTGTTTGACAAAAGGATCCTCAAATACCTTGACATACGGATATGAAACTATATAGACTTTACTTTTAAATTGTGTTTAGATAAATTGAGATTTACAGAGGACGCCACAAATGCCGAAAAATAGATAAATTGATTAAGAAAGCTACGATATTAAACTTTTAGTATAAAGAAAAGATTGAAAATGTCACGATTGTTAAATCTTTTTGGTTCAACGGCAACGTGCACATCAATAATCTATTGATTTGTTAAAGCATGGTAGGCTCAATATTTTACTCTAAATCTACACGGAATAAAAATAAACAAAAAATCTCGTCATTTTTTTATACATCTTCCATGAAGGAAATCGCATCAACTTGAACTCGTACATCCACCATCAAACAAAAGAAACTAAATTATCTTTTCCCGAGGTGCTCCATGTTCAGGAGACAACTTTTAATTATTTGGTATTGTCTGATTTCTGCATATCAAACTCCATGAACGGTGATATCATTCGAGATCCAATATTGAGTTAGGCAAAAACTGACAAATCAAAGATGACAATACTATGGACCAAATTCATCCAAGATTTTTTTTGTTTTTTTTTTTTTGGGGGTGGGTGGCATTATTTAGAACTTCAGAATCACCCTCAAAAAACTTTTTTCGTGGGACTTCCGCAGTACGCCTGCTTTGCATGGATTTGGCATTTGCAAGCTGTGAACGAGCCATGCTGCCTGTTTATAACATACCATTATATAGGCACTTTCACTTTTGCATGTACTTACTATCTTTTGTGGAGTCCCAACTATTCTTTGGAAGGTCCACCACTGCTGGTTTAGTGGTTGGTAAAAAGTGCCCACCCACCAAGAATGGCAAGAAAGATCACATAGGGTTGCCACGAGATTGGATCAATTTGAAATAATTGGATAGAATCCCACCTAATCAAATCAATGAGGATCTTTGGGACACTCACTCGATGGTTCAAGTTGCTATATTCATGAATGCCCCCTTTGTTAACTATGTAGAAACATGTCCAAGTATTGCATGTGGATTGACTTGTTCATGCATCTAGCCGCTAAGTTAATCCTCTGTAATCTGGAGGCTCTTAAGTGTCACATCAGTCGAAGTACCCTTTTCAAAATGACGTACAAATAAAGGTTATCACTCCGATGTTACCGCTTTATATGATAATTTGAATACTCCTTTTGAGGGTTTGGTCCACGCAGAACAAACAAGTTGTTATAGATGGTATCAGAGTAGAGCTCCTTCCAATAAGTGCGTGATTTGAGGACAAACTAAACCCAAAACACGATTCAACGAGGGTGAGAAGTGATTGTTGGCACGAGAATGTTCGAATTGGGTGCCGCTATGGAATATAAAGCTCAATCCAATGAAGGTGGGAAATGATCATTGGTGCGTGAGGATCGAACAAGGTGCAATTTCTAATAGACTTCTAGAATAGCGAGGGTTGAAAATGAACCAAACTACATATCGAATGAGGGGTGTATCACTGTGTGACCTGTGTCAACATTAACAAGAAAAAGTACCAAAAAAATCATAAACTTATTGCATTGGTACCAATTTAGTCATCAACTTTTCAATTTGACCAATTTATTCCAATATCTTTTGCATTTGTGCTAATTCGGTCCATCCGACTAATTTAGACCGAAAATCGATGACGTGAACGTTTTTTTTTTTTTTGCAGGGGCCAATCACCAGCCACAAGCCATGATCAGTGAAGGTAAGCGCAAGCAACGGCCCCCACTCACCAAATCCAATGAGGCCGACCCTTGCCAAATCAGGCGAGGGGGGCCATTGCCGGCCATTGCCAAAAAGAAAAGGAGAAGAAAACAAGAGGAGAAAAAAGAAAAAATTATAAAAATCATTAAAAAATTTTAACGTCAACGCTAGTTGTGTCACATAAGACGATCGGTATCCACGTCAATAATTTCTGGCTTAAATTGGCTAGATGGACTAAATTGACACAAATGCAAAAAGTTTAGGACTAATCTAGTCCAATTGGAAAGTTTACGACTGAACCAGTAATAATGCAATATGTTTAGGAACTTTTTGGTACCTTTGCCGCGTTAACAAAGACGTTTGCGCTTTAGATGGGAAAATGTACCGCATCCCAAAGCCCATATAGGACGGAAGAAGCCTCCTTGAGTAACAAAAAAAGCCACTACCGTACTTTGGTCAATTGGGTACATGGCCTAAACCGGTGGAAACATCTCCTTTCCAAAATTTGTATTTTACCAATTCGCCACATTTGTTTCTTTGAACTTGGCGGTTCCCTTCCCTTTGTTGGTTTTCGGAGATACCTGGTTCGCACCAATCTGACACGCGAATCGTTTGTTACTACGTCGTTCTGCACCGTCTAATCGCAACGACGTTTGCGAAATTCCCAATTTTCCTGATTCAAAGATTTTTCTGTAAAATCCAAGTCACGAGTTTCCCTAAGAGAGGAAAATAACTCGAAAACAAACTAGGATCGAGATGGCCATGTCGATTATTGACTCCCGGGACTTCATTTCGAATTTTCCAACGATTGGTTTGAGTGCGGCCACCTAAGTCATCGAAAGGCGGCCCCAAGCCCGTGTTTAAGATCCCGACATCGAAAATGTGATTCAGGCGAACTAGCGTCCAAAGCTTTCCTAACGGCACAAGGAGTAGCTGCACTCAAATTCTTCTGATTTCACATGAATTCGCCCTCACAGGAATCATGAAAAGGCACAGAAAAGGAAAAACATCAGTGGCTTAGGACGTATAACTTAGGTTCTCAGCAGAAGCACGACGATGAACATCGGCACCCATCACCTGCACCAAACCAAATGACTATCAAAACAGAACATTGGACGTAAAACTAAATCTAGTGAAACCCGCCGAAATCGATTAGAAGCTTGATCGATAAAACGAAAAGGTTAACAAAAAGAAAAGAAGAGAAAGCTAAAGCAAAAGGCGAGCAATAATGTATTTACAAAGTGAGCTGAGATGACTGAGTATATACAGGCAAGAATATGCCAGAATGATCCAAAACAGTACAGAGAATCGGCTCAATGAATCACATTCCACGTTAACTCTTGCTTCTACCAAGTGTCTCTCCCCTATCCTTTCCTCCTCCAGCACTTCCGGCAAACCTGTGCACAAAGCTGTTTTACTACTCATAGTAAGCACCAGAAGTGTCCATATGCGTATACATAAATATAAAGTGCGCACGCGGGAGTGCAAAAACAGGTGGAACCAGATACAAGCCATACAGAAAACAATCTCGAAATATAAAATGCCGAGATTTCCAATCAATACAGCACAATTGCCACAGAAATGTTATTGCCTCGATAAGCATCTTAACTAGCCAAGGAGAGAGATCAATTTAAGCACCTACAACCATCTGCAATTGTGGATCTTCGGAAATTCCCGGAATTACTGCTTGATAAACATGCACCAAGTTTTCTAGACTAAAATGTAAAGTGAGACAATTTACTTGAGCGACTTGCATATGAGTGAAAATGAAATAGGACATACGAAATATTCCCAGCTGACAAATAGTCTCAATCAAAACATTACATGCATCTGTAGACCCTGACCTTCATTAAACAGTCTCAAGAGAACGATCAAAGACTACCGTAACATGCTTTTATGCTAACAGGTGTCTTTACAACTTTTAACTATTTTAACGGGCGATCAACTTTAGTAGATATACAATGGCTTAGGTTCATAGAAGAACATCACACTATTATGTCTTTTTTTCAAAAGCTTGATATATTTAATGAAGCGCAAAGTTCCAATCTTTGGGATATTTCCAATTGTTCCTGCATGTTCTTGAGGCCTAAGGAGTGCAATAAAAAGGTAAGAAGGAATGGCCAAGCACCCCAAACCACCAATCAAGTGGAGGCTGTTTTAATCCCTGCTATCCACCAACTCTAGAGTTACTTCAACCGACAGTTTTCATGCTTAAACCTTCAATCAATAGATCTCCATTTTACCTATCCGGCATGTTTGACAAAGAAATGTTAAAATACATATAAATCATCTTGCATGGTCATGGCGTTACAAGTTGGATTCTTTGATCCAAAAGTTGGGACTTCCCAAGTTCTCCAATATTGATTTCTTATGACACATGAACAAACTACCAAGCAGCATATCACTATAGTGAAGGACCAAGAATTAAAACTTGCACTATCCACAGAAACTCTGGTTATTCGATGCACGGGGGAGTACTGGCCCAAATAAAAGAAAACAAAGATGCACTGGGGACCTAGAGGCCTTTATTAGATGATACCATAGATATTCACAACTTCCATGGTGATGAAAATAACACGGTTAAAAAGGTATTTTAATCTTGATAGCCTAATTCAAGTAGTCATCATCAGAATGGCCCTGACATCTGCTTAGTCCAACAAGAAATCGTTGCCCACTTGTGATCATCTGCCGTACAAACTATTTATTGAGGATCCTGTCCACACCAAATAATTCTCCAATTTCATATCGATCATGCAACAATAATAGTGACCCATGATTTTCCTTAGAAAAGTAGACTGCATCATGGGCAGTCCAAGAACTTAAACTTCTGTACGGGCACGGAGAGTTAATCAGCCACGCTTAAGGCTGCATATGGATAAAGAAAACACCTTCATTGTCCTAACAATTCCTTACCATTGATTAGGTAAGTTGTGGATTCCAGCTAAGTTTTGGAAGCTGCAGCAGGTACAAATGGGAAAGATAAAGCGAGAAATGACACAATAGCATCATCTTCATATTCACAATGACCATTTCCACTAACCCAGTTACATGGATTGATGTAACAATACCACCACCATCTATCCCAGATATTTCTATCCAACCCAAATAGTTCAGAAATCCAGACTAACTATTCATAACTAAATGCATTGCTGTTGTGCATAGCAGCAAATAGAATGGGAGGAATTAAAAAGCAGTGAGACAGAAGGAACACTGAAATCACAAGCAGAAATTGCAAGGAAGTTCAACAAATGAAATCTCACCGCAGATGAAAAACAAAGCCAATGGGGTCAAAGAACCAGCTCAACTCGAACTTTCGCCGGCATGACCATCAGACATATCTTCTTTCCTAACCCAAACCACGTTACTACTCTGCTCTCTCACTCTACGCTGTTGCCAAATACCTTCGCCGTAACCCTTATGATCTCGACGATTAGATCTCCCCGACTGGAAACCGCCCTTTTTGCTGTCATACTGCAATGACAAGTTCCTCAATTCTCTTTCGTTCCCCACCTTTGAATTGATAACCCATACTTGTTTATTCAAACCCTCAACTTTTGCCCTCCCATGGCTAGCATTCGCAGCAGCATTCTCAACCTCCACTTGCACTTCCTCGCTCTCCGGCATCGCATTCTCACTCTCAGAACCGGCATGCTGAAACAACTTCTTCGCCTCCTCTGCCGGCGTGTGCACTACACCTTCCTCCGGCTTAGCCTCTACTCGCACTTCCCTGCTCTCCAGCATCACATTCTGGTCCTCAGAACTGGCACACTGGAACTTCTCCTTCTTGATCTCCTCTGCTGGCTCGTTCGCTTCACCTTCCTCCGGCTTCACCCCCTTTTCCTTTGCCCTAACTATGCCCTTATTTAACCTCCTATCTCTCTCCCTTCCGCTCTTGTTCTTATTCTTCTTCTTCTTTTTCTTCTTCTTCTCCCACTCCTCGGTCTTCTTCACCTGCTCGGCACTCTGGGCAACGACGGAAACCACGGCCACCAAGGTCGATTCCGCTTTCTCGTCGGCGCCGAAACTGGCGTATTCACCACGGCTCGATTTCTCCGAGGGCTTCGGACCGCTTAAGCCGATCGCCCGACGACCATCACTTCCCTCCCTGAAGCTCGTATTGTGTCGAACGGCCCAACATACAGCAGTAGAGGGTCGAGAATCGGACTCGTTCCTCGGACTCGCCTTCACCCTCTCGCCCTCGGTGTTGTTTTCTCCTCGCCGAAGCTCTTTTCCTGGCCGTTTTCCCTGGTCCTTCACCAAGGCCGATTCCGCTTTCTCGTCGGCGCCGGAACCCGCGTATTCACTGGAGCTCGATTTCTCCGAGGGCTTCGGACCGCTCGAGTCGATCGCCTGACGACCACCGCTTCCCTCCTTGACGCTCGTATTGCGTCGAACCCCCCGACGATTAGCAGGCGAAGGTCGAGAATCGGCCTCTTTCTTCACTCTCTCGCGCTCAGTATTAGGTTCGCCTCTTGGAAGCTCTTGTTCTGGCTGCTTTCGCTGGTCCTTCACCAAGGCCGATTCCGCTTTCTCGTCGGCGCCGGAACCCGCGTATTCACTGGAGCTCGATTTCTCCGAGGGTTTCGGACCGCTCGAGTCGATCGCCTGACGACCACCGCTTCCCTCCTTGACGCTCGTATTGCGTCGAACCCCCCGACGATTAGCAGGCGAAGGTCGAGAATCGGCCTCTTTCTTCACTCTCTCGCGCTCGGTATTAGGTTCGCCTCTTGGAAGCTCTTGTTCTGGCTGCTTTCGCTGGTCCTTCACCAAGGCCGATTCCGCTTTCTCGTCGGCGCCGAAACCCGCGCGCTCGCCGCGGCTCGATTTCTCCGAGGGCTTCGGACCGCTCGAGTCGACCGCCCGACGACCACCGCTTCCCTCCTTGACGCTCCCATTGCGTCGAACGGCCCAGTAAATAGCAGGACAAGGTCGAGAATCGCACCCGTTCCTCGGGCTCGCCTTCACGCTCTCGCGATCGATATCAGGTTCGCCTCGCGGAAGCTCTCGTTCTGGCGGCTTTCGCTGGTCCTTCACCAAGGCCGATTCCGCTTTCTCGTCGGCGCCGGAACCCGCGCACTCGCCACGGCTCGATTTCTCCGACGGCTTCGGACCGCTCGAGCCGATCGCCCGACGACCGTCGCTTCCCTCCTCGACGCTCGCATTGCGCCGAACGGCATAACAATCAGCAGGAGAAGGTCGAGAATCGGACTCCTTCCTCGGGCCCGCCCGCACGCTCTCGCGCTCAAAATCGGTCTCCCGTCGCGGAAGCTCTTGTTCCGGCTGTTTCCGCGGGTCCTTTCGCGCTGGACCCGGGAACGGCGGCTGCGGCGGTTCTCCCGGGGGCGATCGCCGCCGCGCCTCGAGCTGCTTCTGCCTTGGCTGCTGCTGCGGCGGCGGCGGCGGACGCCGTCGGTGGAGCCATTGCTCCCGGAGTTGGTGGATGGTGACGAAGTTCGGAGGAAAGAGGGGGTCGTCGCCGCCGACCGTCGTCTTCGGATCCTCCATTGAAGAAGCTCGGAGGGAGAGAGAGGGGGAGAGGGGATCGATCTTGAAGAAGAAGAAGGAGGAGGAGGCGAAGAGAAAAGTGGGAAATTGCAAAAGGGGAGAGGGCTGAGCGAGCGACAGAGAGTCGACACAGAGAGCTCCGTACAGGTGGAGGTCGGACGTTGACGAAGATAAACTGTAGTCTTAATTTATTTTAAATAATGAATTATTTATAGTTAATATCACGAAAAACCTCAAATCAGTATGTGTGTGATAAATTTACTCCAAACTAATTTTTTTATCTATCAAAAATTCCAAACTGATACACCTGTGACAATTTTACCCCGAACTAATTTTTTAACCACAAAAAAACCCAAACTGGTATATCTGTGACAATTTTATCTCGAACTAATTTTTTGACCACCAAAAACCTCAAACTGATACTAGTTTTGGGGTAAAATTGTCATATGTATACTAGTTTTGGATTTTTTGTGGTATTAACCTAATTATTTATTATTTATTTAATTTTTTTTTGTTAATATCACGAAAAATCCTAAACTAGTATGATAATTTTACCAAAAATTAATTTTTTAACCATCAAAAATCCCAAAACTAGTAGTACACTTGTGACATATTTACCCTAAACTATTTTTTTACCATGAAAAATCACAAACTGGTATATTTGTGACAATTGGATTAATATCAAGAAAAACCACAAAATTGTACATTTGTGACAGACGAAGGGTAAAACCCCGTAATGATACACCCGTCAATTGCTAAGCGTCATCCAACTCAAAAATTTGATTCTAAAAATTAATGGAAACTAATAGAGAGTAAAATTGTCACGAGTGTATCAGTTTGAGGTTTTTCGTGATCAAAAAATTAGTTTGGAGTAAATTTGTTACAAATATGCCAATTTGAAAATTTTCATGATATTAATCTTTTTTTTTTGTTGGGAATTTTGTTTGGAATTCGAACATACGAATATTGTGTATTTTAAAATTGGGCATTTTGATTAGCCCCTTTTGTTATGAAAAATCCATGGCTATTAAATAAATTACTTTTTTTGGTACAGTAATAATGAATCGATTTTACTTATATCCTTAATATTAGCAACGGTCGCATACCCTTAGTAAATGTTATTTTTACCAAAAAAATACTAATAAAATTAATTAAAATTTGGACGCGCGATAAATGCTTTTAATGAAGTTGAAAGAAACTCTTAAATATAAACTATGTGTATTAGAAGTGAAGCGAATGAAGCTATACGATAAGCATGTGGCGTGTGATCCAAGATGGAAAACATTAAATTTACAAAAACAATTTAAAGAAAGGAACATGAAGGAACGAAATTATATTTATAAAACCAACAACGAGAAAGGAAAAGCACTTGCATAGCTTTGTGTGATCTGTGAATAAGGAAATATGAACGAAATTAGAAAAAGATAAAGGCCGTCGGACAATTAGTTACGCATTTTTCTATGGTAGATGGGCCCCGTGAAATTGGTACACCCGGAAATTCCTTCAATTTGATTTTACTGACTAGTTTTCCAAATACGTGTTATTGTTATTAATTTTCCTAGACATGGGTACTAACATAGGGATTTGCAAAATTTTTCCAATTTGCTATGCTGTTTAAGATGAATTATCTGCAATTTTCAATGAACATAGATTTCCTAAGTCATCGATTCGCTTGATGCGATCATGCTATTTTATTTCAAAAAAGGATTAATATCACGAAAAATCTCAAATTGGTACATTTGTGACAAATTTATCTCAAATTAATTTTTTGACCACCAAAAACCCCAAACTGGTATACCTGTAATAAATTTGCCTTAAACTAATTTTTTTTTACCACCAAAAACCTCAAATCGGTACACTTGTGACAAATTTAGCCTCTGTTAAATTGGATTGGTATCACGAAAAATCATAAATTGGTAAATATGTGACAAACAGATGGATAAAACCCTAAATTGGTACACTCATCAACTGTCACACTCATCAACTGTCACATGCATCCAACTTAGCAATTTGACGATAAAATTTAACGGAAACGAATGAAGGATAAATTTATCACAGGTGTATCAATTTTGGATTTTTGATAATCAAAAAATTAGTTTGAAATAAATATGTCACAGTTGTACCAGTTTTGGGTTTTTTGTGATATTAACCCTTCAAAAAACCTATTTATGGATTACAATTAATAACTCTAATTAAGGTTTGAAATGACAAAAAAAAAACCCATTAATCTCTAAAGATCGGACGTTTATAGTAAGAAAAGGCAAAATGTATTTTTTTCACCTCCTCTTTGAAATTTAAAATATTGTTCAAATTTCAAAAAACTATAAAAGAGAAAGTTTCGTATTTAGCGCATCAATATTTTTATATTGTGAAATTTTCAAGTGTTTTAAGTTCGGAAAAAAATTAAAATTCGCCGGTCACAATATTTAAAATAACGATTAAATATCCCGTAAATAACTCCTTCCCAAGCAAGTTCCTTGCCAAAGTCAAGTTTGGTCCTTCGACGACAAGAAAAGGTGTTCTTTAGGAAGACTTCTTCTTGACCTGGTACAGTCTCAAAGCAAAAACGACAGCGTTCTATCTTTTCCAAACGGCTGTCGGTGTCATTATCTTACTAAATCAGGCACTCAAAAAAAGGGCCTCTGACCAAAAAATAGAAAAACAAAAAGGCAAAAAAAAAATAAAAAAAGGAAAAGGAAAAGAAAAAGAAAAAGAGCATATGATTCTTGCGTGATATTATTATTTTTTTTTTTAATTCGAAAATTTGCTTTGGTAACATTGTCTTAGGATGCGTTTGTTTAAGGAAAAGTCTTTTTCGGGAATCTATTTTCCAGACTTTCATCAGTTTGGTTCGCCGAAAATGATTAGTCAACTAAAAACACTTTCCGGTCAATGAAAACATTCATGTATAAAATTAGGAAAGTGAATTTCCTAATCTAAGAAGGTGGAAATACTTTTCGGAATTGCTTCCCTTGACTTTTTTAATATTTTATTCTTTTCTTTCTTTTCTTTTCTATCTTTTTTTCTTTTTTCTTTTTTATTTTTAAAAATAAAAAATATTACAAAATTCGAAATTATTTTTTTGCCTGAGATAAAATCATGGGATTGAGATCATTTTCCAAATGAGATCCAAACATCAAAAAATATTTTCGATCACATATCACCAAACAAAGGAAAACTAACTATTTTACTGGAAAATGATTTTCCGGAAAACATTTGCCAAAAACGTTACATTTTCCGTGAAACAAACGCACTTTTCAGTTGAATCCTTCCTAGTGGGGCCCACGAAATCCTTGTCCGAGATCCAATAGGAAAAAAATGGAGTCCGGCCCGGGATTATCGGGCCTATGATATTTGAGCCCGAACCGAATCCGAGCCCGATATTACACACGTTGCATTTTCCGGTTGCGTGCTTTGAAGGAGTTTGATTCTCCTACTCAAAAACATGTCTATGCGATCATATCAAATTTCGTATCCAAAGATGCATTTGGCAAGCGCAAAACACAACTCCAAAATGCGAACATGTTAATGTACTTCCCCATATTTTGACAAGTTAACCTTTTGAAGTAAATGATTCGGCATATAACGTTAGATTGGTATCAGAATCCAAGATCATGGGTTCGATTCCTCACACGTTCTTTCAACCTTTCATAGGCATTAGTCAGCCTTCCACGAGGAGGAGCACTGAGACGCAAAATATGTTTTGCATTGTATTCTAACAGTTCAAATTTTCAAGGTAAACATTTGAACGCTTAGTGGAGTCGGCAGTGGTGGCCTGGAGAGGTAATAGCGGCTCTGGCTAGCTGGTAGTGGTGCCTGTTCTAGAGTTCAACATGGAATTGGTTCAATCGATTGAACCTGGTCGAACCCGAATTTTGAGCGGTTTCAATGCTCGGCGAAATAAAGGACGGCGTCGTGAACTGGACCGGAGGTTCAACCTGTATTAAGTTGAACCGTTTGTCCATCCCTGGAGACACCGAATTCGATAAGTAAAGAGATGGTCCTCATGCGTGAAGGTCGGAGGTGGCGGTGGCTGGGGCGAAGGTCGGAGATGAAGGTCGCAATGCTGGCAACGACAGACGCACAGAGCCACCAAGCTTCTAACATGACCCTTTTACAAGACATTGGCACACAAGTCACACGAATACTTTGAGGAGAAAATTCTCTCTTCATTTGTGAAATTCGCCGTCCCTCAAATCTGTTCCGGCTCGCTATATATGGCCCTATATTATCTATAGAGAAAAGTGTGAGAAAAGCCTTATACTCAAAAAGATCATGTACCAGACTATCTTGAAACACACCAACTTAAAGTGCTCAATTTATTCGATTGGTCGTGACAGAGGAAAGTCCCTCAAACCTAACTCTACGTCCATTGATTTGTGGACTAAAAGCATGGACGTCACCCTTGTCATTAAACTCTAATTAAAGTTTATATGCTAGCGATATCCATTAGGGATGTGCAAAAGAACCGAAAACCACTCAGACCGCCCAGAATCGAATTTGGACCAGCCTCGAACTGGCAGTTTTCATGGGAATCGGTCTGGTTCCCGAATCCAATTTATTGGAATTAGTGAGTACTGATCTGGTTCCTAGGAACCGCTCACCCACTCATCCGGACCGGTATATATATCTGAAAAAATTCCATGTTGTAGTTATATTGTAAAAACTGCTTTTATTTCATGCTTGTATTATGATTATGGAAGCTGACAAGAAAAACTCTGATAAGATGAAGCGATGAAATGTTTCTCAAAGAATGACTTCTGATTTGCTTCTCTTGAGACTAACTTTTTATCAATATGTTTGCATAGAATTAGTACTTTTTTTATATTAATTGCATGACGGAACCGAAGAAATACCCTAATATCCACAACTTGAGACCCACCCACCTTTGAATTATAGGTAAACATAGCCCCGAAAAAATAAAATTATTTCGCAGTCTGAATGTATTAGAGATAGGAAATGCTAAGTAGGCCTTGTTTTGCCTCCGATGCTACTAAGGGCCCGTTTGGTTCGACTTTGGGGGAATACAAATACCTTTGGACTAAAGGGATTTTCTGAAATGCAAGTAATGTTTGGTAAGTATTTTTTAAAATTAACTTGGGCTAAAGGACTTTTGATAATATTTTTTAAAAAAAGAAAATAAGGCTATGGTGGAGCTTAACCACCGGCCACTGCCTCCTAAGGGTCGCGCGACCCTGGTGACCGCCGCCTGGGGTCGCCCGACCCCAGGCGGTGGTCATCGGTGTCGTGCTAGCCCTCAGGTGGCGGTCGCCGGCCGCCGGACCTGCCTTTGGAGAAGATGAACAGTGCAAGTTGCATTCTGAAAATGCAACTTCTCAAAGCACCTTCACCCTTGCATTGGCCAAAAGTCCATTGGAGAGCATTCCAAATGCAATTGCATCTCCCCAAAGTGAGTAAAAAAAGTTGCCAAACACCATTTGCATTTGGCCGAGGGATTTTAGAGCCCAAACGAGCATTTCAAATATTGAACCAAACAGGGCCTAAGTTAAGTCTTTGGTTTAGGAAATTCTAAGTAAGGCCTTGTTTTGCCTCCGATGCCACTAAGTTATGTCTTTGGTTTAGTACAACACTCCATTGGGGGCATCAAACATTCCTGTATATCCCATCCATGGACGGACGATCTTGGACTGCACGACGGGCTTGCTTGACTGCACAAGTGTCGCGACCTCTCAAAGCGTCGAGACCCACGTTCACGTACCAGACCCATCATGTCCAAAAGGCTTTGTCCTAAGCTTGGGTCGCAACGGAGGCCCCAATCAGATCGGATCTGCAAAGAACGCTTTTTGACCTCAAAAGCTCAGGCGTCGTTCAAGCAAAAACACCGACCCGCCTGATCTGATCTCTGCGAATTTGCTTCCAAAAACACGAACACGAACGTGTCGCAAAAGCTCATTCGTACATTCAATCCGATCACGAGAAAGTATGGTAAAGGGCTTCAACCAAAAGCAAAAAGCAAAAGATACTGTACAATGACGGGTGACAACAAGAAATAATAACTCATAAGACTTCTGACACGCTTTATATTTACATAGGAGAAAGAAGAAGCACATGAAACCTACAATAATCTTTAGTACTTGAAGGACTTAAAAGAGTCTCTATATGCACGGATACAGATTAGCGCTTTCTAACCAGTTAAAAGAGAAGAAGGAAAGGGAAGAGGGTTGACAAAGATTGGTTCAGACGGCACTGGAGCTGGACTCTGACGACGGCCTAGCGGCGGCGTTGGTGTGGAACCTCCAGGTGAAGAGATAGTCCTTGGCCATGCAGCGCAGCCGGATGGCGTCGCAGAACGCCTTGACCGAGCTCTTCTTGCCCCCGCTCCCCACCCACTCGATCCTCGCCCAGCAGGAGAACCCGTCCGCCCACACCGGCACCTTCGCCTCCTCGTCGCACATCCGGATCGCCACCTCCCCTCCGATCCTCCGCCGACGCCCCGCCGCCGCGCCCGGGCTCTCCATGGCCTCGAGCCACGGGCACTCCGGCTGCCCCACCATCTCCATGTACGCCGAGTTCACCACCCTCACCCGGTTGTTCGAGTCCGATATCACCGCCGGAAGCGCCTCCGACTCCACCTCCTCCTCCACTTCCTCCGGCTTCTGCCTCACCCGCGGCGCCGGCGAGTCTGGCCTCCGGTCTTCCCTTATGCACCCGACGCTTATCCTCGACCCGACTGGCCGCACCGGCCGCGGAGATATCACGTTGCCGCCGCCGCCGCTGGACGCGGGCCCCTGGAGCTGCCGGATCAGGTCCTTCTCCTCCGGGATCATTTCCGCGGCCGAGTTGACGTTCAAGTCCACGTCGGTGGCGGCCGCCTCGGCCCGCGCCGTGTTCATGCAGCTGAGCTCCGGCGAGCACGGCAGGAGCGGGAGCGTGACGAGGCTCCTCGGGCTTTTCGCTGCTGCTGCAGCGGTCGAGGCCGCCAGGGCCACCGGGGGGCTCTCCATCAGGCCGGCGGGGGGAATGTGGGGGAGGCAACGAGCGAAAACCTGCAGAGACAGGCTCTCCGTCGGCGGCAGGGCGCAGGGGGAGGGAATGCCGCAGAGCGCCGCCACCGCCGCCGCGGTCTTCGGCCTCTTGATGGCGGGCGGCGAGATGGCGGTCCTCCCGCGCTTCCGGGTCCGGGTCGGCCTGGCCTGGAGCTGGGGCCAGAGGTTCCGGAGGTACGGAGATTGACGGATCTTCGAGGACATGGACGTCGGGCTCTCGGCGGCGGCCGAGCTCGCCGAGGGGGCCATCTCGGGCTTCGGGGCAATGGGGCGGTACCGGGACATGATCTCGGCGGTCTTCGCCGTGGAGGCCGGTGCGGTCGCGTAAGGGCTCAGCGTCTTGATCATTTTTTCCTCAGCTGGCGATGATTTTCTTGGGAAAATTTGCAGGGAGTCGAGTGCAAGTTTGAAGAGCGATGAGAGAGAGAGAGAGAGAGATTGAAGAGGTGGGATATAGAGAGAGAGAGAGAGAGAGAGAGAGAGAGAGAGAGAGAGAGAGAGAGAGATTGACGAGGTGGGCCAATGGGAGGAGGGCAACATGAGGGGAGGAGGGCGGAGGAGGCGACACGTGTGGCGTACGAGGGTACGTGTTCGAGGGGCTTGGGAGTTTTGGGGACATGTGGGATTTTCGAAGGTGGGGTGAGTGGTGAGTGGCTGTTGGTCCATTCATGCATCCAAACACCTAGCCAATCCATATATACTTTGCATTTCTTTATTTCTTCGTAACCTTTATATAGAAGACAACCCAAAAATTTAAATTGTTAAGCAGAGAAAGATCACATATAAAACAGAACTTGCCTCCGATACCATATTAGAAAGTCCCATCCTAAAATATAAGCCAATAGATAGAGAAAAACAGCATGTATATAAACGATATATAAACTTTAATGTCGAGCAACATGAAATATTTATAATTGAATTTTTTGGTAGCAATTGCAACAAAAAAAAAAGAGAATGGAGTAGCGTTTTAAAGGTTTGCGATAGACACCAGTGTTTACAGCACACCCATGACCCGATTCCCTTGAAAAGTACCAACTTTAAATCAAGTTCAAATTCTGGTCCAAACTTTTCTTTATCTAATGAAAAAAGCACCAACGTCAGGTTGCATTTCAATTCCGGCCCCTTCTTTTTTCCTCGTAAACAAGCGCAAACTTTACATCGAATCCCAATTATGGCCCAAACTTCCAAAGAAAAGCGCAAACTTTATGTCGATACTCAAATCTGGCCCCTATAAAGTTTCCGTCCAAACACACAGAATCTTGACGGAAACTTAACAGGGGGGGCCAGACTTGGATACCCGACTTTACTCGGATTATAATTCGAACTTAAGTTAAAGTCGGTGCTTTTCAAGAGGACCGGGTCCACATCCACCGGGGAGGACCAGATTTGGGTCACTTTTTTTTTTATTTTCTCTCTCGTGTTTTTTCTTTATGTGCAAAAAGAATATCAGGTGAGGCTCCAGCTGCCTGACCGACCAATGGCGTGGCGCGGTTGCCAACGCGTGTGGGATTGGCGTACATGCCCGGGAACACCTAATCGAATCCTCCCCCATTGGTTCGGCCGTTGGGTCTTCTTCTCTATGTTCTTTGTTCTTGGGGCTCTCAGCTGCCTGACCCCCATTGGTCAGTTACCCTCTCCCCTCCCCCATCCACGTGTTTCGCCTACGTGTCGCCCCCACGTCTTGCATGGCAATTGCCCCCCCGCCCCCCAAAAAGCAGTACCGAGTTGTCGCGCGATTGGCCCGTCCCCGCTCCCCCAGCACGTGCCTCCCCCATCTCGAACCCCCCCGCTATTCTCGTCTTTGTACGAATTTCACCAAGCGAGCGTCTAATCGATCGATTAAAATTATCCGGCGTTTTACGTGGAATTAATGCTAAATTTAAGAGGACTCGGGGCTCCTGTAAACAAAAGACCCTTTATTTTATTTATTTATGGGCGAAGGGGGAAAAAAAAAAACTCCAGAAATTTTTTTCGTAACACCAGAAATTCCAAACTTATACTTACGTAACACATTTACCTGGTGATCACCGGTGAAGATGTGTCTACTTAGATCCCGAAAAGTAAACGATGTTGATATGTAGAAAAAAAATAATTTAGGGTAGCTTGTTACGGTGGGCATGATCAAAAGAGTTCGGGACAAATATGTTACCGTAGGTTTAATTTAGAAATTTTGGTAGTTATTTATTTATATCTGGCGTTGGGAGGCGTTCAGCCAGTGATCTTTATTTATATTTTTTTTTTTTTTTTTTTTTTCGGTTTTGGTGTCTATGGCGGGCATGCAAATGCCACCGCCAAGAGAAGAATGCCCAGGTTCGGCGCACGTGGCACGTGGTGAACGTGTTTGATGGGAAATGGGGGTATGGGATAGGGTAGGGGGGAGCACGAGGGATGGACGTCCCCTTTGGTCTCTCCGTTTTGCGCGCCCCCTTCGGATTGGATGAACGATCAGTGCTCTCTCGGAATGCCACGTGCAGTTCGGAGCCCGTCTGTTTGGTTGGAAAAAATGGGGAATTTAAAGTGATCGGCTACGTCGCCTGGAATAATTAATCAATTATAAATATTATTATTATCAATAATAATTCATGTCTAAATATTTTCGTGGATGACGAAGATATTTTCATTCATTCATTCCGTAAGCGATACGAGCGATTACTTTTTTTTAAAAGAAAAATATTTTTCAAATCGTTCATTCTTTGCAAAATAAACGGAGCCTTAACACCGTTGCAGACGTGTTAGCTCACGCCCGAGCTACAAGGGCCCGGATACAGTTTTGATCAAGCTCGAGTCAAAACTGTCAGGTAAAAATGCTTGATCCAACCGATTTAGTCCAAGCCAACCCCAACTGCCCTAAAGAAATTGTATATAAATATAGGGTTAATAACATGAAAAACCTCAAACTGGTATACTTATGACAATTTTACTCGCCGTTAGTTTCCGTTAAATTTTACCGTCAAATTTCTGAGTTAGATGATACGTGACAGTTGACGGGTGTACCGGTTTGGGGTTTTACCCTCTGTTTATCACAAGTGTACAGGTTTGTGATTTTTCGTGGTATTAATCCAATTTAACGGATGGTAAATTTATCACAAATGTACAAGTTTAGGGTTTTTGGTGGTCAAAAAATTAGTTCTGGATAAAATTATCACAAGTGTATCAATTTGGAGTTTTTAGTGGTCAAAAAATTAATTTGAGGTAAATTTATTATAGGTGTACTAATTTGAGCCTTTTCGTGGTATTAACCCATAAATATATTACGGTCGGCGAGCTTATTTCATATCGCGTGAGCAATAATGATTTATCGTTTGCACCATATTGTCACTGCCATATGATGAATTTGTCACATAAAACACTTCCTCCTCTGTAGGGATTAAGGATGCACAAGGTGGTCTTTCATCTAAACAGTTGCTATGCTGGAGAATGTATGAAACCTAAAATACTTGCAAAACTGCTATGGCTGGTTTAGTTCTCATGTGAGAGTGAGATTTGGTGAAACATTGAATTCCATATTGGATAAAATAGGCATTGTTTATTGATTTGCAATAACATTTTTCTAAAAACAATCACTTGTATCGCTTAAAATAATTAGTCAATGGAAAATATTTTCATTATCAACAGTGACTTACGTCTAAATATTTTCATGAACGATGAAAATGTTTCTCGTTCATTCATTTTTATAAGCAAATAGATATAATTAATTAAATTATACTTTTTTTTGAAATTAAACTATACTTAAGAGGTAACACGATGCCTTCGCAAGCCACTATTTTGGGAATCGTATACCAAGAGAAGACTAGACTCTGGTCACGCTCGCGAGCTTGAACGATTACCAGTGTCCGTTTCCCATCGGATTTATCATTTACGGCCAAATACCCAAAAAGAAAGGGAAAAAAAAACACAACCTTTAGATCGAGATTACTGATAACGTAACCTCTCGTACGGTAATTTTGACATCCGTTGAGCTTTCTGTAAAAAAAGTGGTCGTTAAGAACCCTATGTGGCGACCGATGTGAATAAAAATTTGTGGCATGATTGCCGTGTCACTTTATGATGTTACCTAGGATCCGAATAGTGCGCCGGTGGGTGGGAAAGTGATCTAGTTCCGAGGTGAGCACCGTTCTCTTTGAAGCGAGGAGAGAGAGATTGCATAGTCACGAAAGGGAGAAAAAAAGGGGTTGGCCAAGACCACCACCCCGCGACGGCCACCGCGATGTGGTCGTCGGGGATGATCGCTCGAAGGCAGTAGATTTGCTCTCAGCTCATCGGTCTAAACAAATTTTTATTTGGGTTTAACATAAATGAGGCTTGAAAATCCAAGCTACTCAATTTTAATCTGATCTAATAAATATCGGTTAAAAAATAGATTTTGGATTTTTATTTTGTTCGTGATATGGTGATAGAAAGATGTGAATCCAATCACACTTTCGTAGAATTTGCGGGACTTGGTGATTACGAAAGTGTACGTGACCTTGTGGAAAGCCCTAACAAAAGAACAGAATCTGTATGAATTCCAAATTTATAAAATAGAAGATAAGCTTCTGTGATATAAAAATTTTAGAATTTTCTAAAAGTGCGCTTGTTTATCTCTCCCATTCAGTATCCTCTCTCTGACTACATTTCTATGGATATTGTTTGACTAACTCTTACGAGTCATGAATGAAATTAGGCCTTGGGTTTAAGCCCGTCAAACGGATGGCTCGGATCGAAAATGGTCTTATTCAAATAGATTCATTTAACCCGTTTTGACACATCACATACCCGACCCATGCATGGATATTTGGTGTTTCTAGTCGAACCTAATCCAGCAAGGCCCTTTTGTTTCGAATCACAGGGAGATCGGTCATGAGATCTTTTTCAAACCTCGAACTAAATCATGCTATTTTTCGTTAAGAATTTGCACGTCGAATTCACAACCATAATAAATCAAGATTCACCAAGGACACTGACAAAAGTGTGTCGAATGAGTGAAAAATGGGGATGCAAGACACACATGCTAGACAAGGCTTAAAAGAAAGCAAGCTCGAGGTTTCACAAGTCAAGAAGCAAGCACCACTTATTCTACGCTTACAACCAACCTGAGGAATCATCTGCAATCGCAAAACAGAAGCCAAACTGAACCAATCAAGGCTCACACATCTCAAATTTTAGAAGATAGACATATAGTCTCTAGTAGCATAATAAGTTTTTTGACCGGCCTGAAATCCGATGGCCACGAAGCATAGTGACAGCTCAAGTAACAAGGTAGTGCAAGATCAAAGTGTTTTATGATTCAGAAGCCACTGCTTCCTTCTCATGGTCACCCTCGAGTTGGCTGAGATTGCCCTTCTCCTTGATGAGTTGAGTGTGGTGGTGCCTGCAGTAGAGTTTCCCCTCGTGCGCGATGTAGTTAGATGGGCTGATCACACACCCCCCGTGGGTGCATTTGAAGCAGCTCTTGTGGTACGGAGTCC